CTTATCAAAAGAAAGGGTCCGATTCTTTTGCATGACAACGCCCGCCCACAGTTTCACAAATCACTATCCATAAATTGAACGAATTGGGGGTTGAAGTTCTACCACACCCACCATATTCTCCAGACCTTTCACCAACCGACTATCACCTTTTCAAACATTTTCAGAACTTGCTGAAAAATACTTCATCAATTAGGACCAGGCAAAAAAGACCTTCGTAGATTTCGTGGATTCTCGACCACCCAGTTTTTTCTTTGATGGGATTTCTCGACTGCTGTCACATTGGCAAAAGTGTGCTGATTCGAATGGTGCTTATTTGGATTAAATCCGATGAGTGTTAAGAAAGTTATGATCGTTTAAAGTGAAACACTCAAAACCTGCAGAACTTTCCGGACAACCTAATAAATCTCTTTTTTTAGTATTGTGAGCCCACAAAACGTTGCATACCAGCCGGCCAACTGTGCGATGGTATTCCGCAATGTCCAGATGGCTCAGACGAAAAGGTAACACAGTTGTAAGGCGTTATGCTTCATTTGTAGTAGTGTAATTGTCACCGAAGGATTGCGATTGTCGTGCATGTTCGGGATCAGGAAAAGCGCTATGTGCAGATGGTACATGCCTAGAGCGTTCAAGAGTTTGTGATGGTATTGTGGATTGTAGTGATGGCGTCGATGAAGAAGATTGCCCTGGAACATGCATTCTTGACAAAGATGTAAAGGTAGTGTTTGATGTTCACTGGTACTCGACTGAATATCGAATCATTTTCCCTTATCAATGCTTCAGATCCCACAAGTTATTTGTGCTGATGGACGTCGTTATCCACAAGCCGAGGCCTGCTCCGGTGTTATTGAACAGTGTGCTTACAACTGCACAAAGTGCGATAAGCAACTCGCGTTCACTTGTAATGATAAGAAATGTATCCCACAGATGTTGGTGAGTTCCCAAATATTCCCGTTATATTGCCGTGTGGGCGCCTTTTGCTTGGATCTCGCGGAGAGGGCGCGCCTAGTTGACGATTGGTGGGCATACGCATTCCACCTATCGCACGCTTTTCGCGCACACCACACGTCTATACAGGGGGGGGGGCAAAAAAAGTCACTTTTCTTCATTGACTTTCGAGGCGCTATAAGTTACACTTTATTAAATTCTGATCGGACATTTTTACCACCATATTAAAGAGGCAGAGTGTCATGATAGTAAAGAGTTAAGTTACTATCATGACACTCCGCCACAGCCTTCTGGACGAGCGCCATCGAGAGATTCTGGCACGCGACCGCGATGTGGTGCCTGAGATCAGCGATTCTCCGCCACCGTAGACCACCCTATTGAACTCCGCCCGAACCGGGTAATTGAGGGGATTCAGGTCAGCCCCTTCCATTCCAAGTAGGCGAGAGTTTCTCCAACGCCCTTCGATTCCATGTGGTGGCACCCAATGCTGTAGCAGTACAAAGTTTCCAAGAAGGTACGGGCGACGACATGTGGGGAAGATATTCTTCTTGAGTTGGTCGATGTAACCGCCAGCGCTCAGCTTTAGCCCGGGGTCCACCAAGAAAATATTTGTCTTTCCA